GAGCTAGCCTCATATTGACTTGTATGATCATCCAACAGGCAGTCATACCTCATTTCCCTTAGCCACATGTGTCGTACAGGCCAGGTGTCCTGTCGTGGCTATTGTGTATATCAATTAAAGCCGGTTTTCTGTATCATATATTCCAAATGTGTTGGGTATAAATTTTGCCCCACTTTGTGCATATATATGTATTTTTATATTTCCCATTGGCCCTTAAAGTTAATTTGACTTTCACCTCACCTCAGGTGGGACCCTATGTAAATCCTCTGATAGGAGGGGTGTGACGATTCTTTCGGGTTATATAATTAAAGTTATTTATGTAAATACTCTTTGGGATTGTGTGCTCATATATGCACATATGCTTTTGTACCAATATTGTATTTATTTGTCCTTTAATAATATTGTTTCCCCTAATAAGTATTGTCGTCACATTCTATATATCAGTCGGATTATTGTTGATTCTCATGATTGTATCTGTACAATGGCTCTTTCTGCCTGCACTGTCGAGGTGACAACAAGCCAACTTTGTTTTTTAGGTTTCACCTGAACTGTGCAGTCGGAACTTGCAACACTGTTGCCAAGACTTTTATTTTGATACATATTATTACTGTCTTTCTGTGTTGTGTCATCTTTGACTGGAGCACTTCGCGCAATAGACACACTTGCCCATCCCTTTTCCCGTGAGACGTAATTGTTACGCAAACACAGCAATTACCTAAGTCTTACATTGGCGCCCCCCAAAAACTGTTGCTATGGAACCCATGGCACCAGTGCCTTGAGCCCCAGAACCCTATAAGATAACTGGTAAAGGGCAGGATATTGGGTTACTTGTGCAAGGGACTAGGACAAAATATCCAGCCTTTACAGAAAGATCTCATTATAGGACTCGATGTTGATCAGCAGGCTTTGTCTAGACGTGTTTGAAAGTGCTAGCAAACGTCGGCGGCTCCCGACTTTCTCCCGACGATATCAACGCGTTGTTTGTGATTTGAAAGGGGCATATTAAATATTTGAACATGCTGCTATTGTTGTACAGTGACAATTTGACCCCACCACCTTGAGGTTTCTCCGTGCGTTGCAAACAATCACAAATGGACTAACAGCATAGGCTTGCACGTGCGCATCCCCTTGTCCTGAATGTTTATTAAATGACCATTCAAACTCGGGTTAAAATGAAGTGTGCACCCCCCTTTTTTCAATAGTGTGCAACACACACACACCCCTCTTCTCAAAAAGTTGTATCCGCCCCTGTACAGGTACAACTCTCGTCTGTTTAAGAAATTATGCTTCCATTGCCAACATCAACCAGAGAGACAATTCTAGGTCCAGTTTCAGCAGGGGAAATCGACGTTTCCAAGGAAATTTAGATGGAGAGGTTACGGTGACCGTGACATCTACTCCCAGTTTGTACAGCGGGGTTTCCCCCAGCAGAGTCGGGGCCGCGGCCAGCCAAGCGACGACAACGGGTTGTTTTAATCCTGACCTATGGTGGAGAATTGTGGCTTCACGGACTGTTCTGCAGAGGATTGAGAAGGGTGTTCGCATCCCAATAAACAGAACTCCTGAAACATTCAAGTTTCCAAACCCGGAAGATTCTTTTAAGGAATGTGAATGTATTGATTCTTAAGTTAAAACACTTTTGTCAAAAGGTGGTGTAGAGCATTGTGATGTTTTTTGATAACATTTCTCCCATTTGTTCCCAAGAAGAATGGAAGGTTACGTTAAGTTCATAACCTTAAATATTTGAATTTGTTTTGCTGTTCACCTGCCTACAGAAATGAGGAAATTAAAACTGTGGCTGATGTGATTGAACGAAATGACTTACTCGTTTCATTAGATGTCAAGAACGGTTTCTTCCATATCCCTGTTCATCCCGATGATAGAGTGAGTGAGTGAGTTTACTTTTACGCCGCACTCAGCAATATCCCAGCTATGTGGTGACGGTCTGTAAACCATCGAGTCTGGACCAGATAGCCCAGTGATCAACAGCATGAGCATCGATCTGCGCAATTGGGAACCTATGACATGTGTCAACCAAGCCAGCGAGCCTGACCACCCGATCCCGTTAGTCGCCTCTTACAACAAACATGGGTTACTGAGGGTTCATTCTAACCCGGACCTACACGGGTCCGATGAAGAGAAATTATTTAGCTTTTCTGTGGAAGGGTGTATGTTATAGGTGGTGTGTATTTCTTTGTGATTTGGCATGCAGCTCTTACTACTTTAATAAGACTTTAAGGACATTACTAGCATCTGTACGCTCTCTATGCTTGAGAGAGGTTGTATATGTTGACGATTGTCTACTCATGTCAAGTAGAAGATCTGATAATCGACACCCTTGAATATTTAGATCTCGTAGCTTAGCTAAAGTATGTGGTCAGTGTGTTTAGTAACATGGGTTGCTGGCCCAGGTAAACTAGTCTTTGCGTGCAGCATATGGATTGTGAAGTATCAGAGATTCGTGGGAACCTGTCTTTACCTTAACCAGTAGTGTTATAGAAGAACTGAACTGGTGGTTGACAACTATTGATGCTTCTATCGGCAAAGAACTTTGCCAAAAGTCATTTCATGTCAAGATTGTTACTGATTCTTCTAAGACAGGATGGAGCGGTACTATTAACACTCAACAAGCCTCTGGAAACTGGAATTTGAGATTTTCCGCAAAGTCGTCCAATCACAGGGAACTTTTAGCCATGTTAATGGTGATCTTAGCTTTCAAGAACTTTATTCGGGTTCTAAATGTAAAGATATTAACAGGCAACTCATCAGCTCTGGCTTATGTTTGTCGTGCCCAGTGCATGGAATTGCCCATTTCCTGGGTTGGGGCAAGTGTTGCCCAATGCCCGTGAATGGACGGTGGCTTGCTCAATCGCGCTGATTGGCCAGCTAATGCCAGGGAGTGGGCAGTGCTAAGGTCTGCTCATTCCTTGGGATTGGATGATAACTTACACAGGCTGATTGACTGTATTGTTGTGCTGTGAATTTTGCTTGGTCTGTTTAGTTTGCAGTGTATTTGACATTTGCTTTACAATAACTGCAGACCATGGTGCAAAAAGCACAATTTGACAGTTTAGTGAAAACAAACACCTTCTCAGTTATTTTCAAAGAAGACTATGGCAAACTAATATAAGTAATTTGAGCGATGTGAGCAAAACATTCTGAAAATGGCTCATGTGAAAAGAAGTGAGGACATTGTGAACAGCGAGAGCAGCTGCAAGACTGGACAGTGTTGGCACTGGCCAGAGCTACAACATGTATGGTAATGGTCAATGTAGCAGCAAACGTTGTATGTGAGGTGAAATTGGGTTGAATGTCGTGCTTGAGAATATTTCACTCATATGACGACGTGCATGTGTGTGTATGTGTATGTGTGGCTGCTTGTACTAGCCCAGACTGAAGCTGGTTTTATAGTGCTAGCCCACTGAGATACCATGCCGCAGTGAAGCATTCCTACCCCACTCAGACACATTATACTGACTCCGAGCCGACCAGTCCTTGTTGTACCCATTAATGCCGAGCGCCAGGCAGGGACCAACAAGTACCATATTTTAACGTCTTTTGGTATGACGCGGTCGGGGATCGAACCCGCGACCTTCCGCTCTCCTGGCGGACGCTCTAACCACTACACCACGGAGGCGGTTAAACGTTGTATGTGCTACAAAGACGTAATAAATGCTCTAGACATCGCCATCTTCGAAATATCAAGTGTAAAATAAGTAGTTGTTATAATTTCAGTTTTTATGTTTGATCTTTTAATTACTTAAATGTTTTGATATGTCACATGTATCAAGATACATGTACTGTTTTGTTAGAATAACCATCAAATTCAGCTTTAAAAATAATATATATTTGAACTTTTAACTGACTAAATGTTTGCATGTGTTACATTGTATAAAGATACTGTTTTGTGAGAATAAACATTAGTCATGATGTCTCTCATTTGGATTATCTCTTAATCTCTGCCCATTCCTGGGATAGTGCAAACTGAATCATGAATTGCCCCGTTCCCGGGAATCGGACAGAGCGGTTGTCCAAACCTAGGGAATGAGCAATTCAAGGAATTGGGCACGACATATCAACCACAAAGGCGGACCTTCGGCTCCATAAACGTCGACAACAGAGTCTATATACTCAGTACAGTAGTTTACATTGCTATTCTGTATACAGTATATATCCACTTAGTATATACTATGATGCCTTTGGAATGTTGCTGTGTTGTGACCGTGGCAATATGTTTACCAAATTTCACGTTTGAAATTTGATGAATAAAACGACCGTGGTGCCCTGACCACGTGACATATACAGATCGATATGTACCATTCATGTTATTTTATTTGTTTTGATAATGAGTGAGAGATAAAAAAGATACATTAAAAGAAATGTTGTGAATAAATTCACAATTTCAGTTGTTTCTAATGACTGGTCATAGTGATGTACGTTTACCTAAAGTGCCTATCCTCCCCGGATCAAACTATACAATAATATTCCAGCAAAGGCCTAGGAATGTGCAGACGAATCTTCTCCCCAGTAAAACTATACCGTATTTTCTCTAATACTGACTGACTGAGTTTGGTTTTACGGCGCTTTTAGCAATATTCAACCAACATCACGGCGAGGGAACACCAGAAATGGGCTTCACACATTGTACACATGTGGGGAATCGAACCCGGGTCTTCGGCGTGACGAGCGAACGCTTTCACCACTAGGCTACCCCACGGCCCCATATTTTCTCTAATAAGCGCGCGGGCGCTATTTTTCAGCGGACTTCCAGACCCGGTGCTTTTTGCGCTTACTGGGTGTAATTACCGTAATTGTTAGTGAGCTCTTTCATCCCGGCGCTTATTAGAGGAAATACGGTACATGCACACTATCGGCCATGTCTGAATCTTCACGGAAACAATGTATAACACTTGAAACACCCTTCCATAATGAATAACACTGCCAATAACCAAAACCTATTAGACCAGAAAAGAACCCATTGAAACGATTTCTGCTTTCAGCTCTGTTTTGCTTGTGTTCAAGGCGACAATGTTTTGCGCAACCCTACCTTGCCTCGTGGGTGTTGCAGTAATCTTTGCGGGAATTTCGAATGTGGCGTACATTCCATTGATGGAGGGTGTTGTTGATACCTATCAGGCGAGGGTTATCTCCACGTTTGCAAGAGTTGTGAGGATAGTGGTATGTTGATAATATTTATCCATTACCTTGTTAAGTGTTCTACGGTATGAAGCAATAAATCAGATAGATTTGTTTACTCGCGAGAGCGGGGAGCTCCATTACTAACTTGAAAGAAACTGACCTGTATCATTAATTGTAATATGTTTGTGTATTATTAACAGCTAGTTTATGAACTTGGTCTGATGGTGTATTAAATTGTTGCTGAAGTATAAGAACATTTTTTAATATATAACTTTGCATTATATGCTGATGTGCAGTATAAAGGCAGTCTTTTAAATATAGGGTTGTATATATATATATATATATATATATATATATATATAATATATAAGAATGTTATATATATGTATGTGTGTGTGTGTGTGTGTGTGTGTGTGCTATTCACGCTATGCTAAGGATCAGATCATTGATTCAACAGTTTACTATTATCTGGGGTCTAATTTGGTTTAAATATCTAAGCTTATTGTAAGCATGGATCCTAGGTTTCAGTATGTCTCTGCATCTTGTGGATCCCATACCTGCTACTGACAGATGTTGTGTACTTGTCAATGACTCGTTCCATGATTTGCAAAATGGTTGATTGGTGCCATGAAAACCATGTTTATGGTAACTCATGTATCAAGTGCAAAAGGTTAGGTTAAAGTTGCTGTTTGCGTAAAGAAGGGTTACCATATTATTATTTACAATTTCAGATTATAAATCTATGTTTAAGTAAAGTTTGGAATTTTTGGGATCCTTAGCAAAATGTGAGTAGTATATATAAGCGTCTTGTAACACGTGTTTTATTTGAGATTACGTTTTCTCAGTAAAGTACAGTTTGTAGTTCTTTTGTTGGGTGGAGTCCCATTTATGATTCGAACCCACACCCTCAGAGATAATGTTATTATGTCTGATGTAGACTGTCATAATTTGGTCCTGAAGGTTTCATGCTACTTCGTGTTCACCATAACGCCACGTTTATTCTAAAACATTTAAGAGTGTTTATGATATTTGTATTGAATGCATATATTTTGTCCTTGTTGAGCCAGTCGCGGGTGTTAAACTTGTCAATGTTTCCTACAAGGGAGGAGTGGCAGAAAGTCTTGGTTTGGAGACACCTGATAACGTGGCAAGAGCGATGACAGACTTCATCCTTTCAGACAACACACCACCTCCTCCCACAGACCACCTGAAGGTAACTCACATCTAGGGTGCGCTCGTTTTGCACAAAGTGTTTCGCACGAGCGATGAATTTCCTAATCGAACGGCCAGGACCTATCTCGTGTGCGTACTCACGAGTGCCAAGAGGGCCCTCCTACAAAATCGAGGAGGGAGATCGTGAGAGTGGCGGAAGTACGTCATTTGGCGCGGTTTGGATGAGTAGGCCAAAGATATTCGTCCTTATTTACCGACTTACTGGCACAAATGAACACATTCGTTATCAACCAAGCTGTTGTTTTGGTTTGGGTTAATTGAATTGATTCACAGATGGTCACAAATGAGTGTTACAGACCCGTATGAGTCGTAATCGGACAGTGAGTGAGTGAGTAAGTTACTATTTAACGTCACATCAGCAATATCTCAGCCATATCGTGACAATAATCGGACAGTGCACCATGTGGATGTCTATAGACCACAATTACTAGCAAGAAAATAATTACGGTCATATATTTTAATCAATTGACCTAAAATTATTTATTTGCTTGTAAACAGTCAACCGAGTGTGTGACTATGTGTCGATCGCGCTAGGTGGCGATCTGAGCATGCGCAAGCAAGTACTCGAGTGAAACAAAACGAACGGGTTCCTAATTTCTCTACCTCGAGGTCTTGCTGGCAATGATTTGGGGTCATGATTTGTCCCAGTAGATGATGGCTCCTTCAGCTTGTGTGGACCATTTTGACTGAGCTATTTATCGTATTGTTGCCCTCTGTGAGGAGTTACGGTGATGGGAGCGTCACTGAGCAGTACTTTTGGACTGGAACTGGCGCTATATAAATCTTTGTATGACGATGATGATGATGTTGCATGTTTGCACAGGTGGAGGACTACACTTTTGACGGTGTACCGGTAAGACTGTATCGACCAACGGCTGCTGCAAAACCATCGCCGTCAGTGATATACTTACATGGTGGGGGATGGACCATACTTCACATAGGTACGACAAAAGTACAATTGCATTCATTTCAGCCATGGTCAGCCATAAATTACCTTCATATTAGTCATGGCTCACCATGAATTACATTTATTTTAGCCATTGCCAACCTTGAATTACATTCATTACAGCCACAGTGAGTGAGTGAGTGAGTGATTTTGGTTTTACGCCGCACTCAGCAATATTCCAGCTGTATGGCGGCGGTCTGTAAATAATCGAGTCTGGACCAGACAATCCAGAGATCAACAGCATGAGCATCGATCTGCGCAATTGGGAACCGATGACGTGTCAACCAAATCAGCGAGCCTGACCACCCGAACCCGTTAGTCATCTCTTACGACAAGCATGGGTTACTGAAGATCAATATTCTAACCCGGACTTTCATTGGGTAACAGCCATAGTCAACCTTGATTACCATTCATAGCCAACCTTGAATTACATTTATTTTGGCCATAGTCAACCATGAATTACATTGATTTTAGCCATAGACAAACGTTAATTACATTCATTTTAACCATAGCCAAACATGAAGTACGTCTATTTTAGCTATAACCAGCAGTGAAGTTCAGTCTACATTACTTCATTGAGCATGTTAGAGCTAAAAGGAGTAATATTCTCGCTAAATAGGGAATCTAAATCCATACTGGCACTTTGACGTGCTTCAGACTGTAAATAGATACGGGGCTAATGAAGATACAGAGGCATGTAGTTATAAGATTACTATTTTCCCGGCCACTTACCAGGTAACTGGGATGTTACAACCCGAAAGTTTCAGGAAATACGGTTTCAAACCGACCATCTGATACTACCTGGCAAATGAACGTGTACAGAATGTATTACCCATCGGATTTATTAGGTAACTTAGTATTAAACGCAAAGCGTTTCGCCACAATTGTTTTCACAGACGAACAATTTTCTATCTTCTCTATCTTCTAAGGAAGAGAAGTAGCCTTAAACCTACCAATGACTTGTTATTTCAAATAATATCAATGTTTATGATATTCCTTTAGTCCAATCTAATTCCACTTCACAGACAAAATATAGCAGTCTAAAAAAAGCGATGAAGAGAATTTTCGTGATAATAAAGGATGAATTATCCAAAAGTGTTGCGTTTCTATGTCAACGGTCGCAAAGTGTCACGGTGGTCCCTACTACTAAGTGGAATAGGGACAGATGGAATATCGTACCACCCGTGAAACTCTGGAGTACCGTTTTCATCTGTATTGGCTATTACCTAGACAGAAGTCCTCTAATTTACCTATACCTGTGAAGATCCGAGTTAGAATTGGCCTTCGGCAACCCATGTTTGTCGTAAAAGGCGACTAACGGGATTGGATGGTCAGGCTCGCTCACTTAGTTAACACAATATCAATGCCCATGCTGATGATCACTGGATTGTCTATGCGTGAAGGTCCGGGTTAGAATTTTGATCTTCAGTAACCCATGTTTTTCCCAAGAGGCGACTAACGGGATCGGGTGGTCAGGCTCGCTGACTTGGTTGACACATGTCATCGGTTCTCAGTTGCGCAGAACGATGCTCATGCTGTTGATCACTGTCTTGTCTGGTCCAGACTCGATTATTTACAGACCGCCGCCATATAACTGGAATATTGCTGAGTGCGGCGTAAAACTAAACTCACTCATTCACTGGATTGTCCGGTCCAGACTCGATTATTTACAGACCGACGCAATACAGCTGGAATATTGCTGAGTGCGGCGTAAAACTAAACTCACTCACTCACTGGATTGTCTGGTCCAGACTCGGTTATTTACAGACCGACGCAATACAGTTGAAATATTGCAGAGTGCGGAGTTAAACAACAAACCAGCTTAATCTAATAAACCTAGAGGGTAAATTAAAGAAATGCACCACGGTCATACTATTGTGACTTGTGTCCTTACGTTTCAGACAGCTTCGATGATATCTTATCCGACTATGCAGTTACATCTGGATATGTCTTTATTTCCATTGAGTGAGTAAGTTAAGTTCATCATGTTGTGTATGTTAGCCCTTTAGAATTTACATATATTTTGGGTAAGTTTAAGCTAAAATTATGTTGAATTAGGTACCCCCATATTTTTTGTGAGTCGAACCAACAGACGTTCGTTCAGAATACATAACTGGTTGTGAGGTAATGCGTAGATGTGACATCACCAGCAGATGTGACGTCACCAGCGTCGCACATAGACGCCATCTTATTGGGGTGATTAATAAATTGACACTGGAACTAAATCACGCTGTTGTCTGTTTTCAGCCATTTTGATGGCAATAACCAACACCCTCTTCCAGGGGTGCAGCATGTACAGTAACTGAATCAATGGAATACCATACTTCCATTGTTTGGATCTTCAGACTTAAAGTGTCTAGTTACTTAGCTTGAATGCTAGTTAACTCATTATGTCGAAGTCTTTCCCTCATCCTTCCTCTGTGTTTCCATTCACAACTTCGATTATTTACCATATAGGAAATGTAGTTTTTATATGTGCATTGTGTGATTGGTCACTGTTTGGAGCGCTGGTATCTGCAAAAGGCTTGGCCTTCAATTTTAGGCACCAAACATTTTACTGGGTATTTTAAGTAGGGACCATTCGTAACTGTTGTACCATAACCAGCGTTTGGGAGAGGCCTGGTACTAATAGCAAACCTTGACTCAATCATCAATTCTCTGACAAGATAACCTTATAACTCGTGTTATGTTCGATGTTGGCATGAACAGATCAAGATTGACGCCTTTTATCAACATTTTGTTAAACCTTACAGGTATCCGCTAGCTCCTGAGAATCCGTTCCCCAAACCGTTCGAGACATGTCTGACAGCAGTCCTTCACGTCTTGTCCCAAGCAGGGTCATATGGACTGGATGCAGAGAAGGTGGCTATTGCTGGTAAGGGAAGGTGTACTGAAATGCATCAACTGCCTATAGTTGGAAAATCACATATCTAGAAATATAGAGCGGCTAGTCTGATTCGTGTATTTCTATGAAAGAGCAAATACAATTTAGAATCAAAGCAGGTGTTCTGCTACTACAGTCAAGGTTAATGTTCTGCTACTATTATAGTCAATTCATGTGTTCTGATACTATAGTCAAGGCAGGTGTTCTACCACTATAGTCAAGGCAGGTGTTCTGATACTATAGCCAAGGCAAGTGTTCTGATACTATAGCCAAGGCAGGTGTTCTACCACTATAGTCAAGGCAAGTGTTCTACCACTATAGTCAAGGCAGGTGTTCTACCACTATAGTCAAGGCAAGTGTTCTGATACTATAGCCAAGGCAAGTGTTCTGATACTATAGCCAAGGCAAGTGTTCTGATACTATAGCCAAGGCAAGTGTTCTGATACTATAGCCAAGGCAAGTGTTCTGATACTATAGTCAAGGCAGGTGTTCTACCACTATAGTCAAGGCAAGTGTTCTGATACTATAGCCAAGGCAAGTGTTCTACCACTATAGCCAAGGCAGGTGTTCTACCACTATAGTCAAGGCAAGTGTTCTGATACTATAGCCAAGGCAAGTGTTCTGAAACTATAGTCAAGGCAAGTGTTTTACCACTATAGTCATGGCAAGTGGTCTGATACTATAGTCAAGGCACTAGGTTTCTCTCATTCATCAAAGTTTAATTTCTCAGGTGACAGTGCAGGAGGAAACCTCGCAGCTGCAGTAAGCCTAAAGCTCTCCGAGCTAAAAGACGTCCCCAAACTAAGGTTTCAATGGCTTATCTACCCGGCACTCCAAGCCTTCACTTTCAAGACCCCCTCATACCTTTCAAAGGAGGATGCCTCTCCCTACTTTAACGATGGCGCGACAATGGCGCATTACTGGTGCAACTATATGGGCATAAACACACCACGCATGAAGGAAGCCTTCAGAACCAACCACCACACTTCTAGGAAACTGAAACAATCAATTTATGCCTCGTACGTTGATTCCAAGCTGCTTCCAAAAGAATTTCGCGGCGACAGACCCGGAGAAACACGTTTAGACTACGGCGATGACGAGATCTCCAATGAAGTCGAGAAGATTATTTTGAATCCTTACTTTGCACCGTTGATGGCTCCGGATCTTAGTGGAGTAGCTCCAGCGTTTGTTGTCACAGCCGAGTTTGATGTTCTGAGGGATGATGGTCTGATGTATGCTCAGAGGATGAAGGACGCCGGTGTGGACGTGGTTGTCTACAACTCCCCAGGGTCTATACATGGCTTCTTGAGTTTCTTTGAAGGTCTCATTCCTAAGTATACTGACACTGATCACACAATAGGCAAGTTTGTAAAGTATGCAAGGGAGCATTTCAAATGATGTTCAGCCATTCAGCAATTTGATTTGATATAATGTGAAAAAAACATAAAAATAATCTCTTTATAATTTTTAATAAACAGAACTTAATTCCTAACCTCAACCGTGATGGAATTCAGAATTGTACTTTGTCAGTTGAGACCAAAGAGGGCCAATCACAATATTCTTTGAGCATTTTCGTACTTAGGTTAAGTCTCTGTTCTTCAGTTGTGTAATGAAAGCCTGAAGAAGGGTGGGCTGTACGAATTAATGGCACAATCCAATGATGCTCCCTACCGCATTCTTCATTTGTGTATTTAGACTTGTGACCTGTGCTCTTGGCACAGGGCCACACACACCAGCAAACCCAGCAATTATAGTGAGTTGACTACGCTGGTTTGAACAGTATTCCTTTACGTTACGGCGTGTCAGCTTAACATGGAAAACAGATTTTCCGTTAAATAATCAAACAAATACAAACATACACACTTCAATCATTGATCAGTGGACGTGTAACAGTGAAATCGAGAACTACCAAGAACTAAAATCAAGAACACCCGACAAGAGATAAGAAAGGATGGTAACGAAGACGAACGTGGTGTACGTGGTCTGTAAATATTCGAGTCTGCACCAGACAATCCAGTGATCAACAGCATGAGCATCGATCTACGTCATTGGGAACTGATGACACTAGTCAACCAAGTCAGCGAACCTGACCACTCGATCCCGTTAGTCGCCTCTTACGACAAGCATGGGTTACTGAAGGTCACATAAAAGGAATCAACGAGTTTATGTATATTACATTTTTATTACACGGTAAGATGTCAGTTTTGGAACAGACACACATTCCTCTAGTTATGCTTAACAGTCGGGATTGATGGTTCCTCATTTTGTTACATACATAACAAATACATAAACACAGTATATATCGTCTTTGATGAAGATATGCAGTATCTGGCGGCTGTATCACCATTGTACAGATACGAGTAAACGCAGGTTCGATATCACACATGATTATCACAGAGAGATGTCCTCGATGTCCAGTTGTATCGTCCTTATGCAGGGGTGATACCGAAATCCCCCTCAGTTATGCACTGGAATATAAAAGATGAATAGCAAATATTCAGTATATATTTGTATTTTATTATTATTGGATATTTATACTGCGCACATATCCACGCACTAGTGCATGCTCAAGGCGCTGGTAATTTATCCCTCGATCATTGGGTGTCAAACTCAACGGCACATCTTATCAATCTCAACTCCCTGGGGATAATACAACTCTTGCTGCCACAAGGCGCACCGAGTTAATGCGGCTTTCCCATCCTTACGAGGTACCCATTCACAGCTGGGTGGACTCGTACACATAGTCACAGTACTTTGTCCAAGTTTACTGCACGTTGCTGTACCCGCAACTAAGTGTTTGCACGTACTCATGTGGCCACCATCCGGTCATATACCAACGGATTCGTGGGTTCTTTTAAGTGCACAGGGTTGTGTACTGTACACTAGGGGTTGTGACAACACTGAAATAGTCTGCACACCAAGTTGATTCCAAGGATTTTACACCCGGTCACAGGTGGGCTCGATCCCGTCACCACATGCTCGCTGGATCACTAGCCTGGCGCCTTAGCCAGCTCGCGCACCACGCCCCACACATAGGCAGATCATGCAGTGAGTACCCAACTGGGATACGATGACATGTGTCAACCAAGTCAGCGAGTCTGACCACCCGATCCCGTTAGACGCCTCTTACGACAAGTATTGGATACTTAAGACCAATTATCGTTTCTTACCAGTATGAACCAAACGATGACCCAGGGGAGGAATAGGATAGTTATGATGAGATGTAGGAAATGATTCACACGTGGTCTGAAATACGAGAAAGAGGTGCTAATTAATGAAATGTGCCTTATCTGTCATTCTCACATAAAAACAAAACACATAGACAACATTATAGTGTACATTTCAGAGTATTTGTTTCCTTGTTTCTATATAAAAATCTAGAAAAATAATCAAATGAATTAAGTCAATATCACGTTTCTCTAACAAACAGTATATTTATAGCGACAGTGTATATCAATATCCGGTCTTGACTATCATCAGAAACAGATTCCATTAATTTTAGTGTTCAGGGCAAAACAGAAAAGAAAATTATCATAAATGGACCTTGGAAATTCGTTGATGACACAACATGTTCGCCACAACAACGTTTATGTTCAAAGGAATTACAAGGTCTAGAGATACAGCCAAAATTGATACCACTGTAATTGTTTACCTAATAACACGAAAGAAATCAACATTTCTCCTTTCAAAAATGATATATATGTTTTACATAATGCATGAATGATGATTCTTGACGGAATATTACTAAACTCTCGTGTGCTTATCTTTCTGTCAGATCCGATTCCAGACTGTTGTAATAAGCTTACTATGTATTGGTTACCGGTCCTTATGCGACGTGAGTGGGGAGGTCTTGCAGATGGTTTAAATTATAACTGGAATAACTTTTTGTCAGAGTGTTTGATTACTTGGTGAATGATGGTGCTTGTGCTGCTGTGATTCAGCTAATGATAACAATTTGATAACTTCATTTCAAAGGACTGTTCTGATACATTTTCGATAATCCTTTGCATTCAGGTTTCAGGTATTCTTAATTCATGTATAAGAATTTAGATTTGGTACATTTGATGAGCTGACCGTGAGGCAGAGTCTTTTACTTCTTCATGCTACACAGCGTGAAATGTAATCTTTAGGCGCATTGCTGATAACCAGTGTGGCCCGTTAAACGTCATGAATTGAAGCCAACAATTGGTTATACCTACTTGGGTTGTCAGTCAAGACAAGAGGTACTTTTACGACGATGTCGTATTGGCCACAGTCGGTTAACTGATGACTATCTGCTCAAACGGATGGAGATGGACCTCCTATGTGTATGTTAAGTGTTCACCATCAAGCATATACTGCTTGACTGTGTGGATTTTTCAACTGCAAGTGACTCACATAATGAAGCGATAAATCTGAAAGACCTAAGTTAACATGTACCATAAATTGTAACTATGTAATTTGAATGACAGATTGCTTCTTTTTGAATCACCTGTTATGACAGTTTTCTGTTTGTAGATAATAAAGTAATGAATATATATGTGTTGTTGTTTGTTAAATAAATCCTTTGGACTTTGTATTTACAATGTGCATAAATTACACTGGAATAATGCCGATGTGACGTAAAACCCATCTTAACTCAACCCCGTTGCTGTCGACAACGTTCCAGTTGTATCGACGCAGTCTGTACCTAGTCGCTGACCAGAGCAGCAGCATACGTATAGGGCTTCGCCATTGGGGCATGACAGCATACGCCAAGCATAGAAATACGCGCATTGCAACAACCAGCCTTCCTTCAGCGTGGATATACTGGTGGGAATTTCCACGGTGCTATTGTGTACAGACGACTACGATTACAGACATCTGACGCTGTGTAGGACCTATTGGCTATTGTCAGAATGGAACACAGTGGTAACCATGGATTATCCGCTTTCACCTCACAGATGATCCGGCTTGTTGTCTTGACAACCGAGGACATGTCCCTACTTTCACGTCTATGGGACGTCGGGGAATCCCACCACGGTCGACGGTTTTCTTTTTTGTACTTGGCGGGCAAATATCATTGTAACCAACTGTGTACATCGATGCTTATTTGATACATGTGGTCTCACCTCAGACAAGTGTGAGTTAGTTCAAAATTACCTCTGTTCACCCAGCAGAAAATTGGGTACCCGGTGAGTTAAGTCATGTGACTATTAACCTTCTAGCGCCTCACAGGCAGCTTGGGTTATCCGGGGTAATAATGATAAAATTCTGATTACAGCGTCCAGTGAGCAGCTAGTCAAATGGATACTAGGCGCAATGAAATATTCTTGTTATTATTTTTGTTAATCACTGGATTGTAAGATCAAGACTCGATTATTTACAAATATAGCTGGAATATTGCTGCGAGTTGCGTTAAATAAACAAACACACTGTTTGTGACTGTATGACTGTTGTTGATCTCGTCTCTTGTCTCTATGGGCACATCCCATGACCTTGGTTTGGATGCAACTCTTCGTTCACAAGCAACTGACTGTGTTGGCAGATAAACACTGCACTGATTCACGTTACGCCAAACTGGGTTTCACATATATTTACTACAGGATTGTCCCAAGATTGTGGCGATGTAAATCACTTCATGTTAGATTTTTAACAACGTTGTATAGATATTCATATACAACACTGGAGTTGTAACATAATTAACTCGTCATTTCTTGCAAATTACAGTACATTTTAGTCACTTCTTGAACCTGAACTGTATACATCCTGTGGCGCATTAATCAAAGATCCAATGCGAATGTTAATCAAATTTCGATGTCAATCCCATAACAACGTCTTTCAAAGATAATGGTTCCATATAATGATTTAGTTTGTAACAAATGTCATTTAAACTTGCTTGAAGATGAATATCACAGGTTGCTATTATGTCCATTTTATAACCGATGCAGATCCCAATGTATTCCAGTCAATTTCTGCAGCCCACCTTAATTGTCACATTTCGAGCCCTTATGAAGGAAGATACAAAATATCAATGTTCTCAAAGGGATATGTATATTTCTGAAGCACAACCTACGTTAACATGAGTGTATTATCATGTATTATAGTTCAACTCTACACGACATGATAAAGTTGTATTACCTGTTGTATTCTTGGCCACATGACCTTCAATTCTGAATAAAGTGATCTTAAAAGGTGCAATCCTTCGCCTGGAATGTTTCCTAATCGTGTCATGTTTGTCTTTTCTGAGTCGTATGTTCATCATTTAGAGAAGACATGAAATGTTGTCTTTGTCAAATTTAACCATAGTGACTGACAGTATCTTTTTATCGGTTCATTAAAATATAAAAGTAGAAAGCAATGTGCAGACTGTATGGATCTGCTTCAATTCGTTAACATATTTCTGGCGTCTTGAGTGACCCACCTCTGTACTACGACCGTCTGTGAGGGGACGGGGGCAGGGGCACTGTTGTTGACCACGACAACTGACTGTTGTTGTTGTTGTTGCTGCGGGGGGTGGGCCATCGGCTGTGACAAAAGATGTATTGCCAGATTACTTTAATTTGGTAATTTATAAAGTTAATGATGAAATTAATACAAACCATTCTACCATGACTTCAGTAAATACTGGATTGTGATTGGTTAAAGGTCACATGCAACCAAAAAATCAAACATAATTAAAACACAATTATCACTTATTCACGACATATAATATACATTGCTGGTTATGAAAAAACATATAAACAAAAATTATAAGCGTACAATCGCAAATCAAAAGTGCAAAATTGTGTACTTCGGTTTACTTCCCAAGAAACGAAGCAGCCGGGATACCGAACCCAGTCAGAGCGGGTGGGTGTGCACTCAAGTGTAACGGCTGGTTCATTTGCAGATGCCCTCACGGCTAATTGTGTGTGTATATATAGAGATGTTGGGTTTTGTAAATACATGCTCATTTTTTGTGTATAACATTTTGCAATCAACAGACATCATAACGTCATGTGTTCAAGTATCACACCTGCCTGTCTGTGTAATTACATAATGTGACAGAGACCGAACTCGGGCCATAAATCAATGCATTTTGTTTATGGTGTATAGCCTGATTGGCGTTAAGTTCAAATTGCATGTGGTCAGTGATAGCAGCTGTGTATTGCATATTGTCATTAGCAGACAGGCAGGCAGACACACAGGTGTCAATAAAACAAGACA